GTCCCTTCAATCCCCAGTCGATGCTCTATCCAGAGCCAAACCGGCCAGGGCAGCAGTATGGCTTTAGAGGCCAATCTCTATGCCTTAAACGACTGCCTCTCTGTTGATTTTCTACGCCTTCAAATTTTTTTCATAGAAGAAGAATGACATTTAGATCTGAATTTCAGAAATGTAATTTCCTTCTCTATGTCAAAGATGGATTGTTTGGGGGGGCGGGGGGGAGATAAGAGGTGAGACAGTCAAACACAGTAGCAGTCGATGCAAGAGCAACCTGCTTTAATAAGCCAGCAGTCACCTTCCCAGGTGAAATGAAGAGGATCCCTTTGTCCCAGGGGTCACAAATCATAACTCAAACCAACCCAAGTCCACCTGCACACACATGCTGCTGGCAACAAAGATAACCTGGTGGGTGGGTCCAGCTCATGCAATGTAAGTTCACCACCCACTACCAGATAGTTCTCAAGCCATAACTTTACTGATACTGATGGTTGAATTTTTTTTAAAGTTCACAGACTAAGGTTTATATTTTTGTTTAAGGAAGAAAATAAAAATAGTATTGATTCAAGACAGCCATAAAAAGATGTGCCGTGGTTGATGCTTATTAGTCGCCTGATCCACTATTGTCTGTTTTTCACCCACATTAACAATTCCTCTGGCTCCCAGCACCATCAGATTCAACGAAAGAAGGAAGTCACCCGCCTTCATACACCAAGGTTCAAATACTGGCGTTCCACTTCAGAGACCTGCCACTTTTTAACTTATACACTTATGACTTCATCTCAAGTGATTACCAAGACAATGTGATATTAGAAAGAATATGAAGTTCAATAAACAATTAAATTCAGTAAATACAAATATCCATTCAAATCAGTAAATAAAAATGTATATTAAAGTATAGTATTTATGAATAGTATGTGTCAACACACATCAGGTGCTATGCGTGAGAATTAACAAGTGGGTTTCCGCTCAATGATAATAAACTGGACACAGGTCCACAGATTACAGAGTACACAGGTAAAGCACACACAAATAAGTCATTTCATTCCACAAAGCACGTAAAATGAAGTATAGAAATTATACAGGGGGAGGCAAAATTAACTTTACAGCTGTTCATCTAGAAAATGATACAATAAATAATAGCACAAGAATAAACGGTTGCACGTGCTCGCAACTGTAAACCTACTTTTGCCCCACCCCGTAGACTACCTCCTAAAGAAAAGCTATTTTTAAAACACACCTATGGCAGGTATGTCATAAAAATATTTTTCTAATTTCACATTTTAATGACTGCATCTTGAAAACACAGTTCATTCCTAAAGGGCACGTTTCACTGAAGAGTAGGGAAACTTATATTTAACGGCAACTTTTTTTTTTTTTAATTTGGGGACATTAGAGAGGTTAGAATCAAACAATGATTGCAGATTAAAAATCTAATGTAGAAAGCCAGATAAACGTTTTATGTAGACTCTGACGGTGAATTTAAGAGGCTAGCATACTGTATCCCAAACAAATACGCGTGCATTCTCCTCTATTTACACGCTATAGGAAGTCCTTTGGCCACAGACACTACTCGTACATGTACTAGGCAATGCACCTACGTAATCTTATTGGAAGAAGGGATAGATGGGGGAAGAAATCAAGAGAGATCAGGCAATGCGCATTTTTGTGCACTGCGCCTCAGGCAGTGTGCTGGAAACTTTCACACCCATTGTTTCATTTAACCCTAACAACTCCCAGGGGCAGGCAGAGTAATTCCTTCCGATGTTACAAATGCCTCCTAACTCTGTCAGGGGGGAGCTGAGATGCGAACCAAGATCTGAGGACAAACGTGCCAATGGGTACACGGGCAGTGTCCTCCTGTTGGAGGCTATGTAACTGGAAGGAGCCACATGTATGCTCCTCTAGTTACTTCACCTACTGAGAATGTCCACAGATGCTCCTTCTCATCTAGAAAAAAGCAATGATGATCATTTTCAATCCACAGAGCAGTATTTCCACTGTCGCATCGCTGATAAAACTCCAGCAACAATTTGTAACATTCATAGGTACCAAGAGTTTATCTTTAAACAAAACCAAAAAAAAAAAAAGCAAGCAAACAAACAAAAAACAAGAGGGGTATGGTCTGATTACTGACTGTATAAATGCCCACAGACAACCCAGGACTATCATCACTGTATCTCCTCTTGCCAGATTAAAAGCAGCAAAAGGAGGGGGGGGGGGGGGCCTTCCCAAAACTTGGCTGGCAACAGGTTACTTCCCACTAACAAATTTGTTTGCAGCCTCCTCCTCGCAAATCAGAACACAGATCTACTCAAGATTTAATTGAAATAGCTCACACGTTAAAATCGTGGTCTATTCAACATTTCCATAATTACTTAACTACCCTCAGCATACACGTCACTATTTCTCTCTCGGTAACCAAATGAATGCCGGATGTTGCTATTGCTCGAATGTTAATACAATTAATATTACCCCGCGGAGCATTCTACATGGAAGATACAAAGCTATCATGCAACTGTCTTGAAAAATAAAACACCACTCCAAACAACGCAACATCTTTAAAAGATTATTTCCAGTTGGATTTACAAAAAAATAAAAATCTTTGTCACACATACCTATTAAGGAAACAGAAAAACTCTTAAGAATCTGGAAGGAGGTCATTCTCAAGCCATAAATCCACACGATGACATTATACTTATTACTGCCGAATCGCAATGAGCTATGTTCCTTCCACTGAACAACCCTCACCATTCACTCAAATCCCTTAATTTTAAAAAAAAACTTTTACTGGAAATAAATTTCTGTTAAGTATAATTTCATCACCTTTGTTCCAATGTGAGACACACAGTTTTATACACAAGTAACAATAGTGTGAATTAAAAGAAACAGATAAGCAAGTTTGTGTAGGGAGGTCGCTATTACTTCAGGAAGTTTAAGCTTCTGCTGGAAACGACCTTGCAAACACATTGCGAAAGTCTGAATGCACCAGGTATCCAAATCCCAGTCTCAGCTCTGCAGAATACTTTCATTATTATGACACTATCATCACAACTGTTCCATGAGAACCCACGCCGAGAACTGAAAGTGATTCCAGAATCCATCAGGACACCATCATCTATGGAGCAAGCTAATCCTAATACTTCATGACACACAACGCGTTCACTCCACGTGCTACGAAAACTGGCATCCACTTTGGTGGAAACATTTTTTAACTCTTTTTCCTAAGACAAAAGTGACCATACAGTGAAAGAAACGAGTTGACCGAGACCCCCCAAAATACACACACACACCCAAACAACACAAAAAAATACAAAAAGTGGACTTACAAAAGCCCTAACAGCCCAATAGTTATTTTACTCCCCATTCCTCCACTCATATTTTTTTTAATGCCATACTTATGCTTTCAAAAAAAAATTAACTATTCTGTTTACCTTTTGCACAGACCGTGCAAGCACTGCCAAGGTAACAAACAGATTTTACAACTGACAACCGGAGCGCTTGGCAGTCGCCAAAACAGCACAGCTGGACTCTTAAAGGGAAAGGGCTGCGGTGCCATCCGCACCCGGCGGCAGCTTCCAGACCCACGGGAAACAGGCTGAGGAGCGATGCTCTGCTGTAAAGGGCGCGCCCCGCTGTGGGCAACCCCTCGGCCGGCCCCTCCGATCGCCCCGGGACGGCGGGCGGGAGCCCCGATCTCGCCGGGGAACCGGAGCGCAGGTTGAGGCTGAGCCGCTCCCTTCCCCGTGCACGCGGTTCCCGACCGGACCATCGCGGGAGGCTCGCTTCCTACCTCCAGCCTGCACTTCCACGGGGTGAAAAATAACAATAAATGTTTCCTTAACTTGGCAACGCTCACTTTTTCCCAAGTTTTTTTTTTTTTCTTTTTTACTATGTCACCTACTAACTTCATTCTCGCTGTTCCAAGACAGACGATAATCGAACTAAAAGGCAAAGTTCCTATCGCACAAACCCTTCCCTGCGAGCCAGGGTCCGCTTGGATGTCGGGGGGACAGCGAGCTGCCCCCTCCTCCGCCCTCCGCTTCCCCGCGATGGTCCCGTGTAGGGTCCGGTGTCTGCCCCCGCAGGTGCCTCCGGCCCGGGGCAGCCTCCCCGACCCTCCGGTAGCGACCCCGCCGCCGCCACTGACATCTCCACACACGGGGAGTTCGCAGCGAGACGTCCCGCCCTTTTAGACCGACCTTCTCTCGAAGCAGAAGTGGGGGGACTTCAAGTCCCGCAACAGCGAGCGCCGAACGCCTCCCACTCGGGAAGGGAAGGGGTCAATCCCTTCCGGGGAGACCCCGGCCTCGGGCGCGGGTCCCGCCCCGGAAAGCGCCAGGGCTCCCAGGAGACTCCTCCTACCTTCAAGGAGGTGACGTCCCGGCCCGAACGCC